AAGGGGCAAGGTAGAATTGTGGGCAGTGGGTATGGTCGTGAGTTTCATGGGAAACGGGGGTGGCGGCTAACAGCAGCTCTTCTACGGCCAGCCAGCAGCTTGGTACCCTCCGTATGGTTAGCCGGGGATCTACGATCAGCTGCCGGTTTATGCAGCCGCGGGTGGAGGTCCTTCGGCAGGGGGTGGCACTCCAGGTACTGTATTTTGTAATTCATCTGTGTCACATTTAAATATCAATGTTTTACCTGTTTGTGCTATTAACTTGGTTCCTGCAGGCTCGTCATCAGATGGGGGTATTCTTGGGTCAGTTCCCCCTCCTGTTGTGTGTCAGATTTTTTTTCTGCAGGTCATTCTGCAATTACCTATCCCTCTCGGTTCACATAGCCATCTGCACCAGCTCTCTTGATTACGTTCTCCCGATGAATCTAATTTTGCTTTGTGTAATTACTTGGTTCCTGTAGGCCGGGCTCGTCATGTTACTTTAAATGTAAAAGTACATAAATATCCTTAATTAATAATTCTATTACTAAATAAAGTGTTTGAGTGAGAGTTTAAAATATATTTTAATAGTCTTGTTTAATTATTATCATATTTGTTTCGTGATTAATTAATTTTCAGTTTAAGTATATTAATTAGGTTCAAATTAGTTGAGGTTGCCTTCTTTCTCGTCTTGTACATATACAAAACTTTTAAGTGGCGTCTGATATCTAGAGTCATCTAGGCGATGCCTTTTTTGCCTTTTAAAATATTAATTTTTATATTAAAATATCAATGACTCATTTAATAAAACATTTACCCACGATTATATCAGTTACCCGTTAGACGGTTATGATTTGAATAAAATTTACCCATTGATCATGAGTAATGAAACGGTTACGGGACGGAGAAGTTACCCATCAAGGTGGACACGGTAATATGTATAACCGTCCTCAGCTCGATCCACCGCGTTGACATCTCTAGTCAATTGTGTTAAACTCATTAATAATTCTTCCATATTTGTCACACTTTTGTTCCGTCAAAAGTGTCAATCTCATTGGTTGATTTTACATCAAAATACAAGAAAAAAGCATGTAAATGCATGCATAAAGTAGATAACACCTTTTCTTTTTGAATGAAGACTTGAGTACAAAAGTTTTCTCACCATCTTAAGCGTTGACAAATATTCTAAAGCACTTCTAAAACAAAAGGACGAATGGAATGGAGGGGCTAGAGTTGGGAAACAATTCCTAAAGATATTACGTAAATTTAAACTAAAAGCAAAGCTCAAAATATAAACTACTAGTATCATGAAATACGGAGTACTCCGTAGTTGTTTTAGCTAATTATGAAAATAAGAAGTTTTAAAATTGGGTTATTTTTAGTATATTAGTATAAAAAACTATTAGTATGGATTTTAAAAAGTTAGTCCCATTGTGAAGAAGAATAAGTTGTTTATAGAGAAAATTATCATAGATTTGATGAAAATTAAACAACTCATCTTCCCATATACTATCGTATATGACATTATTAGTTTTTTCCTTATAATAAAACTCATGTGGTAATATTTCATGCTCTCTCTTAATAATAAATAAATAAATAGATAAATACGTAGTATTTTTTTATATGGACTAAGGATGATTTTACTCGGACTGAAATTTGCCTGTCTAATCTCGTCTAATCTATTTAAGTTTGATGTAAAAATCATACTCATTCAATAATGTTATAAAATAATTCTAAAAGTTTCTTAATACTTGATTTAAACCAACACAACTCATTGTTCGAGCAATTTGAGTAAAAAGGGACAAAAGGACCGACGAAAAGAATGATAAATCTCTATTTTTCTTTCTTATTCATTCTATTATTACTAATATCTAATATTACTGCAAAGTATATGATACTAATAATTTTTTTAAAAAAATTGGGGCCGCACAAAAGAGGTTGTTTTGTAGAAACTTCCTAAAACCGGCTCTGATCACCACATAGCTTCAGTATTAAGGATGTTTTCTTTTGGACTGAAATTTGCTGGTCTGGTCTGGTCTGTTTAAGTCTTGTCTGGTCTAGTCTGGTCTGTTTATGTCTGGTCTGGTCTGAACTAGTCTGGTCTGGTCTGATAAACGTTTGGTCTCTGTGTATTTTATAACTACGGAAGTCTGGTCTGGTCTGGTCTGTTTAAGTCTGGTATGGTCTGGTCTGGTCTGTTTAAGTCTGGTCTGGTCTGGTCTGTTTAAGTCTGGTCTGGGACTGAAAACAATCCAAAAGAAAACATCCTAAGTCACCTCTAAGGTTCATTAAATTGCACCATATATCTACACGATAGACAACGCCGACCCTAACAATGTTGTCCCCATAATACTACGTAGTACGTTACGTATATCATATGTGTATGTTGAATTTAATGTCCAAATACCGTTTAGAAATAAACAGCTCCTTTCGATCAAGTGAGGTCAATGGGTTTGAACTTTTGGCCTTGATTGGCTATTGTTATGGTTGCCCTTCATTTTAGCTCATAATCAGCTGTATTTTTTTCAATTTCAGCTAATATAATTACTCCCTCCGTCCCTAAATGTTGTTGCAATTGCAGATTACGAAGGTTGACCGACGATAAAGTTAAATGATCCATGTGAAAACTCGGATTATTTTTAGTAAATAAAATTTACACATTCAGAAACTACATTAAATCCGCTAGAAAGTCTGCAAAAAATAATACAACTTTTATAAAATTTTGATATAAAAAGTAAGAGTTTAAGAGTGATTTAAGTTGACCCTCGATAAGCGAAATGGAACTTCTTTTAGGGATAGAGGAAGTATGGAGTGTTTGGATGAAAAAGGTACATGGAGTTGAAGGTTAAAAACATGGCTGAATTAAAACATTAGCAAAGCTAGTGCCTCAATTCAGCTGATGAAGAGGCCGTTTGGTAACATCTTTTTTTGGCTTATCAGGCTTATCAGCTAACTTTTTCACCAAACACGTAATTTTTACTTTCGCGCGCTGAATTGTGTAATAAGCAGAAAAAGTAAGGTTAGAGTTACTTTTCTGGCTGTATTGGCTGAAGTTACTGTAGATGACCATTTTAGCTATTTGTACATATAATTTTTTCTTTATTTTATTAATAAAATATATTTTAAAAATAATTTTTACTTAAATCAGCAGAAACAGCCAAAGCAGCCACTTCAGACAGAACTTCATAAATTTCAGCAGAATCAGACAAAACAGCCAATTTTCGGGCTACCAAACGGGCTCGAAATAATAATCTTTCGTTCCTTAAGTAGCCCTATGGTCTTCTTCTCTTCTATCTTCGCTGCACCATGCACCCCTTCAGGCGAGAATTTCTTGCTTCACTTCTTCACTGCTCTCATCTCTTCCGTTTTGATTTTTTATTCACTTGATCAATCTTGAATTGGTAATCAGCTATTCAGCTACGTAGGATTTTTAATCAGTGAAGAGTAATTTATAATGGGATAATTTGAGTTTGCACCCCATTTTATCGTCCAAATTAGACTTTGCAATCCGTTTTTAAAAAAAGGCTAAAGGGTCAAATAGGCCCTTGAACTAACTTAAAGTGTTCAATTAGTCCCTTATATAGGAGGTTCTGTCCGGCCGTCGCCAATTGGGGCGGTCTCCGGTGGAATTTTTTGATGAAATTTTTTGAACATATTCTTCATTAAGTCTTGTTTACCCATACCAAATTTCAGCTAAAAATTCAACCAGGAAGGCAGTCAAATGATTTTCCGAAATGTACTCTGTTGTTTAACAGCGCAGTTATCTTCAAAAAATCATTTGACTACCTTCCCAGTTGAATTGTTAGCTGAAATTTGGTATGGGTAAACTAGACTTAATGAAGAAGATGCTAAAAAATCCTTCAAAAAATTCCACCGGGAACCGCCCTAATTGGCGACGGCCGGGCAGAACCTCCTATATAAGGGGCTAATTGAACACTTTAAGCTAGTTCAAGGGCCTATTTGATCCTTTAGCCTTTAAAAAACTTTGCATTTACACCCCCCAACTCCGTATGAAAAGACAAAAATGCCCCTCCATTAACAATTCGGTTCGCCTTCAACATATTCTTGATCGAGGACATTTTGTCTTTTCATATAGGGTTGGGGTGCAAATACAAAGTCTTTTAAAATGGGGTGCGAATTCTAATTTGTACGATAAAATGAGGTGCAAACTCATTTTATTCCATATACAATCTATTTCAATTTTTTTATGGTTTTGTTGGAAACTTGGACACACAACTCTTTGAGTCAATAATTGAAATATTCTTTTTGGAATTGTATTGTGCGCAACATGAGGTTCTCCTTCATACCTGAGTTACGTTTCTGTAGGCTTGCATATGTTAACGTTTTTTCTTTATTATTTCAGAATACAATAGCTATAGTTCAAAGGCATTAGGTAATAGTTATATGACGGTGATGAAAGCTATAGAACGAAATTAGGTGTACACAGATTAGGGAAATTCGCAATATTTGTTATGGTATAAAAATTATTACCCCGTATGATAAATATTTTGAAGCAGTAAATTATTATATGTAAATAAATTCATATAATTCGGACACTTTTTAATCTCTTTTTGTCAAATGAATATACTGTATACAACTAACAATTTAGATTCAACACTACAACATTCGGCTTTAGACAACATTCTCTAATTTAGATAATAATAGTCTTTAATTCAGATATTAACATGCACCTTCAATTGAGACAAACATAGCTTATACCGTAGTACTACGTTGTCATCTGTGTCCACTATGTTGACGACTTGACGGACAAAATTATGCGGGCACGAAGACACCAAGAAACTAGCTAAAAATGAGAAATAAATTACAAAATATCATTCACAAGAAGTAGACACTGACACGGGGATATATTTTTAAAAAATACAACACACGAACCTACAAATCTTGTTTAGCCAGATAAATTATGTCACAATAAAAAATAATGTGATGTGTATTTATGTCACGCGTGACACAAATATGACCCGTAAAACGTACTCAATTCAACTGATAAATCATACTTCGTACTTTAATTAACTTTAAATTCTCCCAACATACATAAAGTACACAGCTGATTACTTCGAAATTTCTTATTATCCTTTTGACCAGGAATTTGATCGTCTCTAACGTTCATTTTGCGGCACCCTATATCTAAGGTCCATTTGTATATTAGATTGCTCATATTTCTATATATTCATAACATTTCCAACCAAATTATCACAAGATTTCTAAGTCCAGAAAAATAACCTCATTTCAAATAGTCATATATTATCGTAACTAAGAATACAATACTTTGAGCTAGGATGGCAATACAAATCTTAGGAATACTCCAAACCTTTCCCACCATCTTTGTCATTTGGACAGCCTTTGCTAGAACGTGCATATCTCACCCATTGGACGCTCTAAGCCCCGAAGAAATCAACCAAACTAGTGTCATCGTCCTCGGGTTACACCCTAGCGCGACATTTCATTATGTTGATCTTGAAGAACCGGAGAAAAACGACGTGATCGACTTGTTATCATCATCCTCCCAGCCCAAATCTTTGCCCTACAGAAAAGCCCGGGCCGTGGTCCGGGCGAATAACGAGACTCGCGAAATTGTTGTGGACTTGATCGCGGGCTCCATCGTCTCAAATGAAGTGCATGGCGGCCATGGGTTTCCACCGTTCACTGCAGATGAAGTCGTTAGCGCCAGTAGGCTGACCTTGACTTATCCCAAGTTTCAAGAATCGATCACGCAAAGGGGATTGAATATATCACAAGTCACATGCATTCCTGTCACAACAGGTATATAATTTCCGGAGAGAGTTTAGTGAGCTGTATGTGAAAAATGCACACCTATACTTTCAAAATTATCACCAATATTGGAATATTAAAAATCGAACTTTTTTCATCCCACTTAATAAGTCAACTCTACTATCATTTTTGTTTGCTTTTCTTAACAAACTAAGCCATTTTCATCTTACACTAATAAAGGAAATCATATTTGTAAACAGAAAACATGTAAATGAACGGTAAAAGCTCACGATCTATGATCAATCGGAAAAAGTCAATGCACTACAAAAAAAAATGACAGGATTGGCACGTACCGCTAATTTCGTGCCAAATAGCTCGTGCAAAACTGTTTTTGGCACGAATTTGGCATATCCCTACCAAAATCTCTGCTAATTTTGGGAAATCCCTACCAAAAATCTCTGTCAATCCCGTTTTTTTTTGTAGTGATGTTTTAAAATTTTAAAATCTCAATACAACAAAAATACAAAATAAAGAGAAGAAAATAAAAAATAAATAATAAATAAATCTTATGTTGCGCATTATACATTTATTTATTTATTTTATGTTTAATGAACTATAAATATTCAAAGTAACATTATTGAAATAATCAACTATTTATAATCTGATAAATAAAAGATGTTTGCAAAATGTGCCTTTTTAATAAAATTACTATAGTATTAATTAACTTCACTCATAATAACTATGTTCAATTTTTACACTTAAATCACTATAACATTATACCCATAACAACTTGAGTCATACTTTTGTAAATAATTTTTATTTGAATAATATTTTTAAAAAACATCATTAATACGTACTTCTGATAAATTGTATCATAATATTTGCATATTTGATCCACATATGTTAACTAAAATTTGGGGATAGGCCACTCGCTCACAATTGAGTGAGTCCATAATTTTAAAACACAATGATAGTTCTATTTAAAAAGGTATGGTATGTTTAAGCTTATTTGTGAAATTTTTATTGAAATTAACCGGTTTTGAAACTTTATTAATATGATATGGTCTGAATCTAGATGTAAATAAAATAAAAATAGGACACGGTATTATATTACTGCGTATGATTTTGTTTTATTTTCGTAAGTATTCGATTCGACAGAGTTTGAATTATTAATTAACGATAGGTTGGTATGGAGAGAATGGAGGTAGAAGAGTTCTGAAGAGTTCTTGTTATTCACGGGAGGGAACCACAAATTACTGGACCAGGCCAATCGCGGGGATAACGGCGTTAGTAGACGTTGAATCCATGACGGTGGTCAACTACACAGACAGCGGAATGTCAAAAATGCCCCCATCCGAAAACACAGACTTGGAGTCGTCAAACGCCCATGATTCGCCCAAAACTTGTAATGGAGCCAAATCAAACATCCAAATAAATGGGAGTGTGGTGAAATGGGCGAACTGGGAGTTCCACGTTTCGTTCAACGCCCGTTCGGGCTTAGTTATATCGACAGCTTCTGTATTCGACTCTGCCAAACAGCGCCCTAGGCGTGTGCTCTACAGAGGGTTTGTGTCAGAGACATTTGTTCCGTACATGGACCCCACACCTGAGGAGTATTATAAGACGTATATGGATGTCGGTGAATATGGGTTTGGAGTCTCTGCTAGCTCTCTTGTTCCATTGTTGGACTGTCCGGCTAACGCTCAGTATATTGACGGCTACATGGCTATAACAGATGGTCAACCACTGCTTGTCTCTAGAGCTATTTGCGTTTTTGAACGTTATACTGGGCAAGTTACTTGGAGACACACAAACGTTGGGATCCGAGGAGATGTGGTAATATAAGTAACCTTGTTTAGGTCATTATTTGATTTGTTCAATTTATCTCAACTATCGGTGTTTAATTTGTGTGTGATAAAGAGGTCACGGGTTCAAGTTCTCAAAGTGGCCTTCTATCAAACACATAAAGGAATTCTGGCTTCTAAAAGTATCAGGGTCAAAGCCTCACTATCTATTCGCGATCAAAGTTCAACTTACATCCTTATCTATTTATAATGGTCGGTGTTGGGGGCCTCAGGAAGGAAGTGTCATCCTTTTTTATAATGGAATATTTCCCCCTTAGGATGTTTTTACTTGGACTGTTTTCAGTTCCAAATTAGACCAGAATAGATCATATCAGACCAGACCAGTTTAGAAAAAACCAGACTTGGATAGTTATAAAATACACAGAGACCAGACATTTATCAGACCAGACAATTCAGACCAGATCAGACCAGACCAGACCAGACCAGACCAGTAAAAACATTCTTATACACCCCTTGTCATGGGACCTTTCCCTAATCCATAATTTGCAGGGCCAACAATGTGCTGCGAGCCACCCTTCAATTTCACTCACGCACCCTATGTGGTTACTACTAGTAGGAAACTGGCTTACAATGACACTTTTATAGTGACATTTTCTTATATAAAGTTACTAATAATATAAAAGTGTCACTATTTTCTAGCACAAATAGATCAGTATCACATACTTTTGGTCTGATTAAATGAGTTATATGTATGTAAAATTTTACTAGTGCCTGAGTTTTGATCTGGTTAAATTTATTATGCATTGATTTGAGATTGTAACTTCTCCATATTAAAACATTCTAATACAGCTCTTGGGTTGCAGGTGACTAGTGGAGAGCAGGAAGTCAATCTGGTAGCAAGAATGGTGGCGACAGTTGGAAATTACGATTATGTGCTTGATTGGGAATTCAAAAAAAGTGGTTCCATCAAGATTGGGGTAAGAGCAAATATTGTGTCACAAAACACTTCATAGCGTTTGTAGTTTGTACACGTTTTCTTCCATAGACTAGAATTCTTTATGAAACATTTTAGAGTGGGATTTTTAATTAGGAAATCCCTTTTGTAATCACATCATTTGCATATATAAATAGTAAAAAATGTATAAACGTTTTGCGGGAGATAAAAAGAATAAAGTTGGTGTTTATTATTAGTACTTTATTAGGATATTGTGTTGGGTGATTGATAATAAGTTAGCAAATAACAACGGGCCGGGTTGTAGACTAACTATTAGAAAAATTGTCTTAAATAGGATTAATTAGGTACGGAGTATTAGAATTTCAAAATACGAATGCTTTTTCTTCTTGAAATATAGGAGTCACTAGTATCATGATAGAAAAATATTGTCATTAATAACATTATAATAGTGAATACTTTCATGTTGAATGTCTTGTACTGCAATTATTTGGCAATAACGAATAGAAGATTACACTAAATACTGTCATGTTACTTCTATTTCGGGAAAAAAACATAACAGTACCATTTTAGAATAATTCCAAAAGCTATTTACTTCTATTTTGGAAAATCTCCTTTTAACTACTATTATTACCATATTATTGAATTATACATGCAAATACTTCATAATTACAAAATAGTTAAAGATCGAAAATGTTATCAATAAACGGTAAATTTGACTCTAGAAGTATAAAGTCTAAAGGCTTAATTAATGCTCTTTAAAGTCGTTTTTAAATAATAGGCTAATTGACAAAGAGGTGGTTTCTATGCTTTATCCAAACACATTTAGCTCACCTTTAGCAAAACAGATCAAAGCTTGATGCATGGGATTCCAGACTTTATCCAAGCAACTTTCCAAACAAAAACAATTTGTCTCCCTATCTTGGAGATCGATCGATTTGGCATGCTAAATACCAATAGTATACACCTCCTTGGACATTGTACCACAGGATAGCCGAGAATCAAATAATTTTGATTTGATTCCTGAGTTGAAAATGTGAATTAGAATTACAATAAACTAAATTTTAATGAATTTTATTATTTTTTATTTTAAAAATTAAAATATTATTTAAATTTATATAATTAAAAAACTTTTGTGAAGAAAAACTCATCAAAAATTAGCTTTGAAATTAATAAAAAATTAAATAAATCAAAACTTATAGAATTTTAGGACTCAGATTACTACTTTTCAATCATTCAAATCCTATATCGACACAATTTATTACTATGTATTTTTTTGAAAGGATATAATTTCATTACTTCAATAAATTTCAAATTCACTTATTTTCGAATTCCAATACAAACCAAATACATTCGTATATAAGAGCATCTTCAATGGTACAATGTGCACGGTGCACACGTGGCATGAGAGATGACCACATAAATATTAGTAAATAAATTATTTCTCTCCTTATTTGAATGATTTTATACAGTTTTGGTAAGTTATTCTCCACAATGTCAAAGAGACCGTCTAATGTTGACATTGTTACTGACATTACAGGGAAAAACTTACTAAAATTATATAAAATCATTCAAATAAGGAGAGAAATAATTTATTTGCTAATAATTATGTGTCTATCACTCATGACACATGTGCACCGTGGACATTATAGCATTGAAGATGCTCTAACAATCAAAGTGACTACAAGTATAAAGTAAGATTCGATTATTCAACATAAATACACGACTATTTGTTCATCTGTATGAACATACCAATAATAGTACCGAAATTTCCTGAATAGGACTACATTTTGAATTTCTAAAATAAGACATTTATGTTTTAACTCCTTAAATGTAAGTAATTTCGGTCAAGTTCGGAAAACATTTGACAAGAACGGTCATGTTTAAAGTCTAATAATGTTAAACTCGGCAGAAATTACTCTTATTTAGGTAATAAAATACCGGCTCCGTCCAGCTTTGCTAAAACCCTTATTTCGGGTGCAGGTAAGTCTAACCGGCGTCCTTCACTTGAAGGATGTTGACGAAGCGAGCAGTCAAACGCTAAATGGGGATGTCTATGGAACCTTTGTGGCAGAAAACACAGTTGCAGGAAACCATGACCACTTTGTGACATACTATCTCGACTTAGACATTGATGGCAGCTCCAACTCATTTGTTAAAGCCAAACTCGAATCTGAGAACGTGACAGATCCTTCCCTTTCGCCTAGGAAGAGTTACTGGAAAGTGGTAAAGGAGACTGCTCAAACGGAACCCGATGCTCGGATTCGGCTCGAGTCCGAGCCTGCCGAGTTGTTGATTGTGAACCCGAACAACAAAACGAGGCTCGGAAACGATGTCGGTTACAAGCTGATTGCCGGGCCATCGGCTTATTCTTTGCTCTCCGACCACGATTACCCCCAGATGCGAGCATCCTATACTAAGAACCAGGTGTGGGTGACTCCTTACAACACGTCTGAAAAGTGGGCTGGCGGATTTTATGCAGACCAAAGCCATGGTGATGATGGCTTAGCCATTTGGAGCCAAAGGTATGTAATTAGAGTATTTTATTTTCTCTATTAATGTACTGCTTTAATTTAATATACTCCCTCCGTTTCAGTTTCTTTGACACAGTTGGACTTGTCAACATTTAAGAGAAAAGTTTATTTAAGGGGGTAAATTTTACTGTTTTGACACTGTTTGAACACTGTTTGGCACTGTTTGAACACTGTTTGGCACTGTTAGAACATTGTTTGACACTGTTTTGCACTGTTTTGCACTGTTTGAACACTGTTTGGCATTGTTAGAACACTGTTTGACACTGTTTGGCACTGTTTTGCACTGTTTTGGTAGAGATTTGTTTATCAAATAAGGAAATAAGGAAGTGTGACATAAATTTTGAAACATCCAAAAAGGGAAAGTGTGTCAAACAAACTGAAACGGAGGGAGTACTATTTTATACTTTGATTCAAATGTACAAAAAATAAGAATACATATAGTGCATTTATGATTTGATAGTTCTAAATATCACACACCGAGTTGGAAGACCGTGTTTTTCAGCTTATTAGGCTTATCAGTCAACCTTTTTATCAAATACATAACTTTTGATTTCGCGCGCCGAATTGTGTAGGCTGAAATTAAGGTTGGAGTTACTTATCATGTTGTATAGGCTTAAATTAGTGTAGCAGATCAATTTAGTTATTTTCATATAATATTTTCTATATTTTATTAATAAAATATATTTTAGATACAAATTTTCATAAATCAACAAAATCAACAAATTCAACCGCTTCAACTGAAAAATTCATAAATCTCCCCAAATTCAGATGATTTTGATATCACCGTGTGTGTACTTTCAGATTAATTTTTTAACAACTTTAATCAAATTATTGGTATTTTATTGCTGTGCAGGAATAGATCAATTAATAACACAGACATAGTGTTATGGTACACTATGGGATTCCATCATGTACCGGTCCAAGAAGATTTCCCGGTGATGCCGATTGTCTCAGTTGGGTTTGAGTTAAGGCCCGCAAACTTTTTTGAAAGTAACCCATTGCTCATAAAATAAAGTCAAGTCCTTAATGAATCATGTTATTAGCATATGATTCTTAAATTGTCCACAGTCTCACTTTTATAAGTTATACTTAATTGGGCAATTTAATTGGGGTGGCTACTTGTATTAAACTTGTTTGCTATTTTCTTTTTTTGTCGAACTTTCTAAACCTATTACGAGTATAATTTTTGTTCTTAGATTAGACTTGTATGCTTGATATTGTGTTTTTTTTTGTTTCTATATACTTTTAGTCATCTTTCAATGACAAATACCACTTCGTTTGTTTTAGGCAGTAGTAATACACTCCGTATAAAGCACGCAAACTTGAGAGCATCAAACCCTAAAAGTAAACAGCAACCAATAAAAAACATGGTGACCATGTTTTTACCTATCAGTTTAATCGGTCATCTTTTTAATCGAACAAGTAATTTTTTATTTCGCACGCTGAATTGTGTGATAATAAAAAAGTAAGGTTGAAGGAGTTCGTATACCGTGGGATCTTCCCACGGTGAGCACCCTGCTCCTGCACTCAAAACGACGTAGTTTCCAAATTAAAAATTTTCACATGAGAACAGTACATGCATGAACAGTAACCGTTTTTATCTTTTTATTGTTCCAGTAGCAGAATGATGTAACTCGTGTGTAAAGAAATGTAACACACCTTAATAAGAAATGTCAATGCAAGTAAGTCGAGATGTAACTTGTCTAAAATATTGATTTCAGACAATCGGGTGTGCTCTGATTTGCCTGCGTCGGTTTACTTAGCAGCTGCGGCGGAAAACGATCGATTGATGTTTTGTTTAATAAAGTGGTGTCGTTTTTGGATCGGCACACCGTGCGCACGGTGGGCTGATACCACGGTATAATTTGCGAGGTTGAAGTCACTTTTCCTGGTTGTATTGGGTGAGGTTAGCGTGTAGAGAGGATCATGCTATAATGTTAACTATATTTCATATATATTTTTATTTATTTTATTATAAAAAATATTTTAAACATGATTTTTCATAAACACGCAGAATCAGCTAATTCAGCTACTTCAGTCAGAACTTCATAAATTTAAGCAGAATCGGCCGGTTCAGCCAATTTCAGTGATACCAACCAGGGCTCTTACAAAGTGGATATTTGTAGTTAATATTACATAAAAAAGTTAGAATAAATTTAAATAATTTAGAACTACACAAACATTACTAAGTTTTGTATGAGAAAGTCTTAATTATGATAAAGAAAAGATGAGACAATTTTTTGTGGATGAAAGGAAATAATATGTTGTACATGTGCTAACTTACCTCACCAATACATTCTCCAATTTAAATAGATTCAATCAATTTGATCGTTACTAAACATACTAAGCTCTAATCTAAACTCTAAAGCATTATCACACTTTTCGTATATATGTAACGTTTTCCATAAAGCTTACCCGGTTTTCATTTATCGTATCTTATAGCTTAGTCGTAATTTCATGTTAAATTCGTCAATACTTTATGGGCTTGTTTGATTTGGTGATCCCTATTTTCAATTTATCAGCGTTATCAACCAATTTCTTATAAAACACATAACTGTTACAGCCTCAGACAATGGGAAACGACGTTCAAAGAGGAACACCGACACCATGAATGATTTAGGTATGTATTTACAAGCCGCTTATTGTGTGAACTCTTCATTTTTGTATACAATTCATCCTAAAGTACGATTCCTTCATGTAGTGTTGTGTACGCAAACAACTTGTATATGGAAAGAATGTCAAACGAAATGCTATTGAGGGGAATGGAAATCTTCTCCTTAATAGCACTACAATCCCTGAAATCAAATTCCCGCTCACCTCAAACTCTTCTTATCATCCGTCGGATTCTAATAAAAAGAATCTACGGCTGGCTTCTATTCACCCCTGTGTGGCTTTATCACTTTGTCTAATTTCTTTCTTTCTTCTTCGCAAATCACAAGAAGCTGCTCAAATTGTTGAGAAATCATCTACCTGGAGTAATTCTGCCCGCAAATCATCCACCTCGAGTCATCTTCCCCGTAATCATCCGAAAAGAAAAATCATCTTGGCTGAAAAAAAGAGTCATTTATTTCAGTCTGGGAAATCATTTTGGTCGAAATCCAGCAGATTCAAACTGAATTGGAGGTAAATTATTCTTCTAAATCATATCATCCATATTTGATTTTCGAATATTCTTCATCAATACTGATATCCAATTTGCTAGGTTTATATGGAGATGGCTATGGTCAATTGAGTTCAGTTTTACGATGTCAATCTGTTCAGTATACTTACTTGGGATACTTCTATAACAGTTACTTTAAGAATTGAATAACAGAAAACAAATTTTCTCTAGGCTGTTTATGATGAAACAGAATAACAATGATGGACCCAAATACTCGGTGATGGATTGTCTACCCGGGGGTATCTTATCCGAGGGGTTATTGCGGGAATAACTAGAAAGAAGTCAGAGTAAATAGGAGGAGAGAGAGTTGATTTTATTAAATGAACTCAGCGTGGTTTAGAAGGAGAATAAGGGCTGCTATTTATAGCAGCAATAAATGCGATGAGAGGACACGTGTCAGTAATCCAACGGCCGAAAGGTCACATCAGCAGGTTGGCACCGGCAGTGGTACGTCCACCGCATTGAATGCGGTTGGCGGATGTGACGTGGCATTAAATGCGGTGGTTGGCTGTCGCTAAAAGGAATCTTTGATGACTGAGCGCGTCCGAGGCCGAAGGTTCCTTGCGTAGCCGAGGGCTCCATGTAATCGAGGACCCCTGTGCGGCCGAAGGCCTGGCGTGATAGTGCCGAAGGCTTGGTTCAGCCGAAGGCCTCTCCGGTGCCGAGGGCTTGAGAGTGTCGAAGGCTCACGTTTTTCGCCGTTTTCTCCCAGTAGCTTCTTATGCCAGAGAAGGCTATCCTGCGAGTTTTGGAGCCTTCGGCCAAGGAAGCCGAAGGCACCCCTATTGTGCGTTTTGGGCTATGTTGAGGCTTGGGCCGCCGTATTTGGGCTTGAGTTGTTCTCTGGGCCCAATGGACTTGTGTAGGAGAAGTGGGAGTCTATGGGCCGGGGGTTCCTGGGCCATATACTCCATCAGGAGTCCCTCACTCCTTTTGCCGAAAGGTACTTGAGGGAAAAGGAGTAGTTGTGCTGATTCTTCTGGAGGCTTCATTATTTCGTCGGGTGCCTTGCTGGAGAACCTGTCTTCTCCTGATTGCCGAAGGCTTCCCTCAGTCCCCCACATGTCGAGGGTTTCCTGAGGGAGGTATGACACCTGTATGACTGCCGAAGGCTTTCCTCAGTCCCTCACATGTCGAGGGTTTTCCGAGGGAAGCATAGATGTATTGCCTGCATGTGTTGTGATGAGGGCTGCTTTATTTCCGTGAGTGTCTTGGAAAATTTTTGATGTACTGCTGCTGCCGAAGGGTATATTGAAGTATGTACCCGAGGGGTTTCCCTTTGATGTTTTGCTCGGGGGCTATATGCGTCAATCGTGGATTTTTCGCTTGAGGAAATTTTGTTCTGTGTGATTCCCGAGGGGTGTGTCCCAGTCCCCCACTCCTTTAGGCCGAAGGCGAGTTCGGGCTGGAGGAGTTATGACGTGTCGATGAGCTACCGAGGGGTGGTAACATTGATGAGCCGCAAGCTTGGTGAATTTCGTTGGCAGAAGGCTGAGGTGAGTGATAGCCGGAGGCTATCATTCGAGGGCACCCCCCAGTATTGACGAAATATAGTTGTTGTAATATAGCCGTTGGGAGAGGGTTCCACGTGGCGCATGTCCGTTGGCTGACGGCGGGCGGGAGCCATCCATTGGTTGAACCATCGGCCCGTAATGATGGGCTTTTCAAATCGAGGCCCAACTCCCGAGGCCCAGTTGCCTATAAATACTCCAAGTCTGATTCATTTGTCGTTGTGCGATTTTGTTGAAGCGAAGCTCTGCCAATTTTTCTAGAGAGAGAAACCCCTGCTTTCGATCAACTTTATTCCCCAAGGTCAGTTCTTCATCTGTTCTTTCCTCCTTAGGTACATTTTGCTTGTGTCCCTCTAGGTTTAGTGTTTATAGATTCTAGGAGCCTTCGGCCTGAACCTTCCGACCTATACCTCTCCACAATGTCTTCGGGAGATGATTCACAAGATATATCGAGGGAGGCTTCGGTCCAGCAGGAGAGCTTTTCAGACGTAGAATCCTCGAGTGAGCAGGCGTCGTCAGCAAATGATTCTGCCATAGCTAAAGAAGTTCAAGACCACCTTCGGACCGAGGCGGAAGCCGAGGAGTTCGAACAGGTAGTGGAGGACGAAGAGATGGCCCTCGCTCTCCAGGTTGCAGAGGAGGAGGAAGAGAAGGAACGTAGGGCGGTTACCGTAGCCGTCGTGTCTCCCGACGGCGCTGGAGAAGCGAGCAGTTCCCGGCCATTGAACGCCGAACCTCTTCGGGTTGCTCCGGGAAAGAGGAAGAGGAAGATGAAGGCGGCGCCGAAGAGGAAGCAGGCCGCCATCGATGCAGGGCGGCCAGTGGGCATACCCGAGGGCCATTCATATCTGAACACGGCGGCCCTCGCGATGAAGACGAAGGCGACGGCTTCCGACTACCAAGCCACCCAATTCCTGGTGGGGCCCTCTGCACAAGTGGTGGAACCCGGCCCCGACGATTTGCTGTCTGATCCGCCCGAGGGATGCTTCTCTGTGCACATCCTCTCAGTAGATTTGGGCCTCCGGTTCCCCCTCCACTCCTTTTTGCTGGAGTACCTCGAGTTCCTGGGGTTGGCCCCCTGCCAGTTATCACCCAACAGCCATTCATACATCTCTGGTTTTCTCTCGCTCTGCCGGTCCCGGGAGGTGGAGCCGACTTTGGATCAGTTCTTCCTGTCATTTAACTTGTGCCGGGGGGGGCACACACACGCGGAGGGGTTCGCCAACCTGCAACAACTTCCCTCCTGGAGGCTTTTTTCTGAAATCCCGTCATCCCACAAAGGGTGGAAAGATCGATTTTGTTACATCCGGATGCCGGAAAACCCCTTTCCGAGGCCACTGCGCGATCATTTCCGGAGGCATCTGAAGGTTGGGAACTACGCCCTTGAGAAGGCCGGAAGAAAGCTAACGGCGAAACCCGAAGGCTCTGATAAGTTATTGACTATAAAGGCCGCCACCCTTCCAGACGAGCTCTATCTGCTAGGTTTCCGACGGTTTCGGCTGGACGGGGAGAAAGATGAGAAGTACCCTCCGATTGCCCGAGGCTATCAAAACGCCGGAGGTTGTTGCCGAGGGATCCCCTCCTTAGTACTTAGACATTTTGTG